ACTATTGTCCCTTGAGGTTGGTAAAACTTAGGACTATTGTCCCTTAAGATTGGTAAAACTTAGGACTATTGTCCCTTGAGATGGGTGAACCTTAGGACTATTGTCCCTTGAGATGGGTGAACCTTAGGACTATAGTCCCTTGAGGTTGGTAAAACTTAGGACTATTGTCCCTTAAGATTGGTGAAACTTAGGACTATTGTCAAATGAAATGCTTGAATCTTAGGACTATTGTCCCTTGTGATGAGTGAATCTTAGGACTATTATCTCTTGAGATGAGTTAATCTTAGGACTATTGTCCCTTGAGATGAGTGAATCTTAGGACTATCATCCCTTGAGACTAGTGAATCTTAGGACTATTGTCCCTTGAGATGAGTGAATCTTAGGGACTATTGTCCAATGAGATGAGTGAATCTTAAGACTATTATCCCTTGAGATGAGTGAATTTTAGAACTATTATTCCTTTAGATGAGTGAATCTTAGGATTATTGTCCCTTGAGATGCGTGAATCTTAGGACTATTGTCCCTTAAGATTGGTGAAACTTACTAAGGACTATTGTCAAATGAGATGCTTGAATATTAGGACTATTGTCCCTTGAGATGAGTGAATCTTAGGCCTATTGTCCCTTGAGATTGGTGAAACTTAGGACTATTGTCAAATGAAATGCTTGAATCATAGGACTATTGTCCCTTGCGATGAGTGAATCTTAGGACTATTATCCCTTGAGATGAGTTAATCTTAGGACTATTGTCCCTTGAGATGAGTGAATCTTAGGGACTATTGTCCAATGAGATGAGTGAATCTTAAGACTATTATCCCTTGAGATGAGTGAATTCTAGAACTATTATTCCTTTAGATGAGTGAATCTTAGGATTATTGTCCCTTGAGATTAGTGAATCTTAGGACTATTGTCCCTTAAGATTGGTGAAACTTACTAAGGACTATTGTCAAATGAGATGCTTGAATATTAGGACTATTGTCCCTTGAGATGAGTGAATCTTAGGGACTATTGTCCAATGAGATGCGTGAATCTTAAGACTATTATCCCTTGAGATGAGTGAATTCTAGAACTATTATTCCTTTAGATGAGTGAATCTTAGGATTATTGTCCCTTGAGATTAGTGAATCTTAGGACTATTGTCCCTTAAGATTGGTGAAACTTACTAAGGACTATTGTCAAATGAGATGCTTGAATATTAGGACTATTGTCCCTTGAGATGAGTGAATCGTATGACTATTGTCCCTTGAGATGAGTGAATCATAGAACTATTGTCCCTTGAGATGAATGAATCTTAGGACTATTGTCCTATGAGATTGGTGAAACTTAGGACTGAATTGTAATACTAAGCCTTATCAGCATATGCTTTTTACATTATTGATGTTTCAATGCAATGCATAAAAATTACTGAAGTCTCAATAAAATCATCTCTAATCAATATATTCCATGATGGACTCGACAGATTATTATATACCAAATGAACCTAGAAGTCTGCCTATATCCGAGAAAGAAAATATTTTGATCACTACAGGATTATAGAGGAATTAAAGATGTGTAGCTAGAGATGTTATGCTGGGTTACAGGAAGGTTATGAAAATATTAAGACTTAATATGTTATTAATACTTTGATGGTAGGCAATTTTATTTGCATAAAATTTTGTGTAGCTATGCATGTGTAGCTCTGCATGCAGCAGGCGATCAGACTGCTGTCCGACCAGGCAGTCGGACTGCCTGTGCCTATGTTGTCCGATCAGGCAGTCTGACTGCCTGTGCCTATGTAGGCTATGTTTACATTGGTCTTTTCTTTCGGAACCTTTCTGCATTTATGTATTAACATATCTTATTACTCCCAGAAGGCTCTCGGACTTCTTCAGAAAATACATACCTAATTTGGCACTTGTCTGGTCAAAGCTGACCAATAGAGTTAAGCCAAGTTAAGATAAGGGTCCATGGCTGACCAATGTAAAGAAAGATCCCTACTGGGGAGAACCCCCATGGTCAGCATCTGATATCCCAAGCTACCGCCTCATCACTTTTAAATTCTCTGGCGAGGCGGCAGCAGCTTTGATTTTTGGCCTTCTTTCTAAATTCCCACCCACCCTTACTTTCCCAATTTTTTATCTTTAATTACATTAGTTTTGTTTGTTATATTGTAGATAATGTAGAATTAGCGTAGTAGGAGGACCATAGTTTAAGTTTAAACTACGGAAACAAATAATGATACTGCTTTATTGTTATTACTGTTTTGTAATTATGTAATGCGCAATAAAACATGGTCTATGTTCACCCAAACCAATTTGTATGTTGTTCTTTGCCATAACATGTACATGAGATTGGATTAATAGCAGAGTGATACCACAGATGTAACGGGGCCACTTACACACATCAGTCAGTGTAGAAAATGGAGTCAAAGATATTCCAGTTTGATTACAGGGACATTAAGGTAAGAATTTTAGGAAAGTTAGAAGAACATTCAAGAAATGTCTTTGATCAAGGCTTTAAATTTTTTTGCCAGATCAGGGGATATTTTTGACGAAATGTTACACTTAAACAAATATTAATTGTTCTTTAAAAATTAAAAAAATAGTCAAGCAAATTATAATACAGGGACTATTGGTGCATGTTTTGACATTTGGCCTGCAACACCTATTTATCATCATACTGCAGCAGGTGCATAGTATTATGCTGACAGCTGATTCCAGGTATCAGCAAACACCAGATTAATGCCAGATTGTGTTCTGGGCAGGAGTGATCTCCCCTTACACACAGCTGCCGATGTGCTGTTTCTGGCTGATACTGCATATACATTTAACATTCTTACACAACAAAAACCTGGCCCTAATAGGTAGGGCGTGTTTGGTGTTGAATTAACTACCTAATGGAGCAGTTAATGTAAAATTGACACCTCTGATATGATCTAAGTTTACACAATACACCAACGTAAATCTGTTGTAACCAAACAGTAGATGGGTCTGACACAATTATCTACACCTTATTTTGAAAACTAGATCTGATTATATCGCCACTTCACAATAACAGATAAATCATTTTAAATCATACATTACAAATCTACTACAGTCTGAGTAAACATGTGATTTAAATCAGGTACAAGATTACAGTGCATTTCTATACAATTTCAAATTTAAATGAAACACAATAGACTTAAAATTGTGTTTTAGTGTAGTTTGATATTATCACTACACAAACCATAGAATATGAAACTTCACACCCAGTAAGTTGATAATTCCTGAAAATAATCAGAAAATAATCAGACATGGTACTCAATCTGGATACGAGCACAAATAGAAGGAGTGTTTTCAACTAATCAAGCGAAATTCTGTGAGCTGATTACAACGTGGCATGTTTAATGTTTAAAAGATTGGTAGTTAAGTGTGTGGGGGGATAGGGGCTACTGTATAGGGGCATATTTAACACTACCTCACTAGCAGGGAGCACTGGGGCAACTATTTACCAGGGCACATTGCGATTACTCCTCCATTACCCTTGATCGAGAATGTCCTTTGGTGATGCGAGGTTATTTAAAAGATGATTATTTCTGATAAGACATTACGAAAATGCTCTGTTCTTCATGATGATAAAATAACCACCCATCACTCTGACAGTATCACTAATCAACCTCGGGTCATCTTTGGTAAGAGGCCTGCCTCCATTTTAGTAATTATCTTGATTAAAAATCCAGAGGAGAAATTGATTCAACTATTAATGCTAATCTCAAGGTTATACCAATGTCAGAAGGTCATTGCCTATACCAGATAATCTTGTTCTGACAACTTCAGTAATGAAATATGAGACAGTCCTCCAAGAATGTCCTTGGCACATTGATCCAAGGACCCTGAAATGGTGTCCCTGAGGGGCTGGCATGTCACTACCAATCTAGCCTTTGATATCTGGACCAATGTCACAAGTGACTTGATCATGAATTTGAACCCCTGCCTTAGTCAACTGGTCACCACACACTGTGGTAATGGTCTTGTCCACAGCTGTCGGAGAAAATGTTACAATTAATTTACACCTCACACATACGTCAGATTATACCAGATGCCAGAATACAAGTCTATAGTTGGTAGTGTTCATTTAGCTGATGAAGACAAAAACAATTGGGCCTGAACCTGTAGAATTACCTGAACTGTAGAATTACCTGAACTGTAGAATTACCTGAACTGTAGGATTACCTGAACCCTGTAGAATTACCTGAACCCTGTAGAATTACCTGTACTGTAGGATTACCTGAACCCTGTAGAATTACCTGAACTGTAGGATTAAGCTCTGATGCTAAATAGCATTTGTCACCCTTCTAATTTGTTACACCCTTATCTTGCCAGGGTCTATATTTCTAAAGACCCCGCTTTGCCGGGGTCTATAAAAGCATGTGCGAGGGGAGATAACTCTAACAGAAAATCTCTCTATATAACAACAAAGATGGCGTCCAACACACACAAGCGTTTGAGGTTTGCCAATCATTCACAGGGTGAAATAACCTACAAGCAATCTAAAATGACAACAAATTCAACGAAACAAGCAATGAGGGGCCGCTAGGGTGCTTATTACAAATATGGTTGTGTATTGTCCGAAATATTGCCGAAAAGGTGTCCGGTAGGGGCTATTTTGGTAGCAGTCAAGTACGACTCAAACTCACAAAGTGACTAATAATTTTGGAGAAAAAATGTAATAAAAGATTGTCAGGGTGGCAAATTCGTTATCTCTAGGTTAGGAGGGTTCTACGGGCTCATAGACCCCTCCTTACCCAGAGATAACTAATAATATACAATCAAACCTGTCAAATAAAACACGATCCTGAGGACGTCTTAAATATGGTCTCTTCAAACAGGTGGTCTCTTAATACAGGTGTTGGATGAGCAGGCTTGATTGTTCCTTAACTTTAGTATAAATATGTGAATTTGAAAAAATATATATGAACTGAAGGATTTAGCTGATAAGCTTTATATACCACACCTGTCTCATTAAGGTGTGAAGTTCACATACCTGAGCAGGTGGGAATCCTTTCGTATATGCCAGGGATAATCTTCGTGTCTGTATGCTTTTTTCAGGAGGGGTCCGCAAAGTTTGTTCCCCATATCTCATGGTTTAGCATTTACACCAACACCTATAATATAAAACATACCTGTAATATCACAACGTAAGAATCACAGGTAAAAACACTAATTACAGCTAATCAATATATATCAGAGATAATTAATACCTATAACAGGTTAAATTATTCCTATCACAGGTGATACAGGTACATGTAAAATGCATCACATTTTAATTAATTTCAACACACACCACCTTCAGACGACTTCAATATCTGAGATGAACAAAATCCGATTATAGGACTTTTTCTTATTATTATGCATTAAAAACATTTTGACACTATATGATATAAAGAAATCTCCTTATGTGCTACAGAATGTATGTAATTTCAGATAAAAGGGTCTCAGGATTATCTGCCTTGTTTCATTTAGTCAATGAATATGTTTACAAATGAACATTATCTAGCTGTAAGTTAACTGAATTAGCCACAAAAATAGAATGAAAGGTGGGCATTGTTTAACTAATGTTGGATTTTCAACACTTGAAACATAAAATTATGATACTTATGGTTTTATGTCCAGATCTCTACTTTATTAGTCTATCACTAATCGTTCTTTCACTTTTTGGTATATTCATAAATTCAAATACATTTTTGAGAAAGAAAAATATTCATAATGATTTATAAGTGTACCCTCCAATAAAGATATATCACTTGTCACATATCAGTGGAAATCCTGTACCCTTAAACACCCTGTTTATAACCCACACCTGCACCATCACTGTCTATAGCCCACACCTATACCATCACTGTTTATATAACCCACACCTGCACCATCACTGTCTATAGCCCACACCTATACCATCACTGTTTATATAACCCACACCTGCACCATCACTGTTTATAACCCACACCTGCACCATCACTGTTTACAACCCATGCCTGCACCATCACTGTTGAGAACCCACACCTGCACCATCACACAATCATTGGATGGCTACATAAACATGTGAAAATCTTATTTCTAACTGAGTACCATAGTGTTTCAGTAGTTCTTGTATTTTTTTTTATATTTCTCAGCTGAAACGGCAAGAAACATAAGTAGAAAAAAATGCTAATTGATTTCTTTCAAAATTTAAACTTCTACATTTATATACATGTAAGTTATGTTTGTAATATGACATAAACATACCTTTTGCATTAGGTATCTGTTTTTCACAATTAAATTTAGTCAAAGATAATATAAAATATCTCAAGAAAAAAAGTCCAGAGTAAAGGGAAATAACTCTTACATCCTTCCTTTAATTGTGTCGGTGTGCCTTGTGAAAATAGCTGGTTGTGACAATGATGTTTCTGTTCTATTCTATGAGGTTATCAGTCATGACAACTGATGTCATTCTTTTCTCATTTTGAGGCTTAAATATGACAAAATGAGATTATAACTAACATAGTCAACAAGATATCCCAAATACATCGTGAAAACTAGGTACAGTAAATACAGTCATTACAGGATACGAGTTCATCTGTTGAGGATTTTAGAACTGCTGTGCTATATAGTGTATGTTACATTACTACAGATTTACTGAGTGATGACATGTAAACCAATAAGAAACCTGCAGACTTTTGATCTCCAGATTTAAGGATGAGACACACTTTTTGTGTAACCGTTGTATCTCAAACGATGAGGAGTTTCAAATTGTTCAAAAATTCTGACTTGGACCTGTTTTCCCATTTTTTGAAGCAATATATTTTCTCGCAAAATCACCTTTGATCTACCATTGGGATTAGATCTCCATGTCCACTTGACTATAAAGCAGAGGGCTCATACCCACTGTGTTACCAGCCATGATATTGTACATTGTATAATTAATAAATAGCTAGAAGGATATTTTTTTGCACCATTATTGGTAACAATCTTCAATGGTCAAACTCCCTAAATAGGGCCTCAACCTATAACTCTCTCTGTATGAATAACATATATTTAACAGGAAATGATTTGTCAAAGCCGTTTTCACTGACTTTGAGACAGGAATCTCTAACTTAACTGAATTCGACTGAATCCTTCATAAATGCTTCATGCAATTTACTTGTGACATATCATTTATAAAAGGAATAATTTATAGAATGAAATAAATTCCCCCACAATATAATCAATACATTTCCTTCACAATCAATGACATGGCATCATTTGTCAGATAGTCGATGTCTCTATTCTGTCCTAATTATATAAAGCCAACACATGTTCTTGCACATTTCTGCTATGAGTAGCAAAATATTTTCTTCATATATTTTACATTTAAAATCACTGTTTCTGCAAGAAATCAAATGTTCCAAAAAAACGTTAAAAATCTTAATGTCTGCTATTTAGCGAGAAAAATGATAACTTACTGATGTGCTGTACATTGTATTACGAGGAGGGTCACCAAAGGAAAGATAACTCTATGTACATTTCTCAGAAACCTTTACAAACTTCTGATGGATACCAGTAAATTTCTAAAATAGAAAGTTTGAAAGAGAGTGCCTTGTAAGTAGTGTGTACCTAATGACATGTGAATTACATACATGTGGTACACTTTGGCCTGTCAATCATAACCTAGACAGACTACTGTTATAGCCACAAGCATGTCATAGACTGGGGGGTGTCTGGTACGACTGTACTAACTGCTAAGTCAGACTCAGTAGCAGTTCATGTACATATGAACATGGAGAAAACAAAGCTGAAATCAGAGTTTGTAAATGGAGGGGCTGCAGCAATCCAGGCTTTGTGCCAGAAAAGGGGTATGATATCAACTGACCAGAGCAATTAAATCAAAAGTTCAACTTTGACCAACTTTTGTGAAAATCTGGCTAAAGCCTGCTTAAAGAACCATCAACACATTTATAATATATAAAGTATTACAAGTATGCATAATAGCTCATATTGGAAGGCTACAGAATCTCACGAGGTCAAACTAATTTATAGTTTGTGGATGTCCAGAGCTGTGTATATATATACAATATAACAGTAGAGTATCCCTGATGTCCTCGAGCTGTGTATATATACAATATAACAGTAGAGTATCCTTGATGTCATAGAGCTGTATATATATACAATATAACAGTAGAGTATCCCTGATGCCCTAGAGCTGTGTATATATACAATATAACAGTAAAGTATCCCTGATGTCCCTTAGCATATATGTACAATATAACAGTAAAGTATCCCTGATGTCATAGAGCTGTGTGTATATATAATATAACAGTAGAGTATCCCTGATGTCCCTTAGCATATATATACAATATAACAGTAGTGTATCCCTGAGGTCATAGAGCTGTGTATATATACAATATAACAGTAGAGTATCCCTGATGTCCTAGAGCTGTGTATATATACAATATAACAGTAGTGTATCCCTGAGCTCATAGAGCTGTGTATATATACAATATAACAGTAGAGTATCCCTGATGTCCCTTAGCATATATGTACAATATAACAGTAGTGTATCCCTGATGTCCTAGAGCTGTGTATATATACAATATAACAGTAGTGTATCCCTGATGTCTTAGAGCTGTGCATATATACAATATAACAGTAGTGTATCCTTGATGTCATAGAGCTGTGTATATATATAATATAACAGTAGAGTATCCCTGATGTCCCTTAGCATATATGTACAATATAACAGTAAAGTATCCCTGATGTCATAGAGCTGTGTATATATACAATATAACAGTAGAGTATCCCTGATGTCCTAGAGCTGTGTATATATACAATATAACAGTAGTGTATCCCTGATGTCTTAGAGCTGTG